TGCAGGACGAGCGCGAGGCGCCGATGGTGCGCCACGAGGCGGCGGAGGCGCTGGGCGCCATCGCCGACCCCACGACGCTGCGCACGCTTGAGGTGTACGCGAAACACGAGGAGCCGATTGTGCGTGACAGCTGTGTGGTGGCGCTGGAGATGCACAAGTACTGGTCGCAGTTCAGCAAGCACGCCGACGGCGAGGCGGCGGAGGAGGTGAAGGCAGCTGCCTGAGTGCGACGAGCCACCGAGCCGTGCGCCCACCGGTACAGGGCGGCAGCAGCAGGAGGGGGTGGAGGAGGAAGTCACCGCCCCCACCACAGCGGAGAGATGACGCAAGCGGCGGAAATCATAATAAGCTTGAAGTTAAACACAGGAGCAAACCAGAAGCTCATCCATCGTTTTTCTTTTCATTTCAGAAGGAGGACGCGATGAGAAATGCAAACGCACTCGAACACATTAAAAACAAAACAAAAAAGAACGAACGAAAGAAAAGGAAAAAAAAGCGGAGTATTTCATGGCAGCATCAGTAAGATGAATGAGGAAAAAAAAAAAAAACAACCCCCCACCATGCGTTCGAGATGCGATGTACATGGCTGCCTTCTCTGTCTTGAGAATGAGCTGTTGGGATGCAGTCCGTTAAGTGGCTGCCTGGGCAGGAATACGGAAGTGCGAAAGTAAGAAGAAAGAACTGGAAGTGTGGGCTGGCTGGACAGGTGGAGTGGTGACTTCGCAGCAGCTGCAGCAGTGTCGTAGGTAGAAGACATGATAGTGGTTTAAAGACAAAGAAATAGCAAAAAAAAAAAAACAGACGAACATCGTAAACACAAAATTAAATGCATAATCTGAACACCCCCTTCGCCACTATTCGTGTCACATCAAAAGGAATCGCACTTCTTATTCCTTTCCCCTCTCCACGCAACGCTTTTGTATGCCTGCCTGTTTTTCTCTCTCTCTCTCTATGTGGGTGCCTGTGGCTCGGCTGGTGTGCGTGTGTGTGTCCGTTATGTCTCTCTCTCTCTCTCTCTCTGTGTGTGTGTGTGTGTTTGTGTGTATGTCTCTGCAAGACACTCCTCCTGTTTGGCCCTCATGTTTCTCACCTGTGCCGTTGTGCCCCGCACACAACGCAAGCTACTGGGGGTAAGAAGGACTCCCTACGGCGACAGCGATTAGTGAACGCATCCCCACAATAACAACCGTTGATACCCCCTCCCAACTGTGGCCACAGACGCAACAAAGGGATTCGCTGGCGGGGTAAGCGGTCTCTAAACACATCAGAAGGAGAGGAGCAATCAAATAGAAGAGACAGAACGAAAAAAAAAAAAAAGGAACAAATACCCGAGTCCGGAACGACCACTGGCAAAGTGAGTGATCGGAGTAGCTACTACAGCAGCAGCAGGTGGAGCGGTGGCAAGACATAACAATAGCCACGACGTAACCACTAAAAAAGAGAAAGATCACAACATCAAAGAACGAGAAAAAAAAGCACACCAACAGGGAAGGCGACATGGGGCGATATGGGGCGTATGATCTTTACATAGCGCCCTTTGTTCGTGACTTCTCGCTGTTCTTGCCTATGTTTCTCTCGTGGTTTGTGGTGCAGTGGGTTATATCGCGCGTGTACTCCCGCCTACTCGGCGCCAATTTCACGGGAATGCCGCGTGCGAATCGCCAGGACATCGTGGTGCGCACCGTCAGCGTCTGCAACGGCCTCCTGATGATCGGCGCCGCAGTATGCTTTATCAACGACCTGCGCGTGCATCATTTCAGGTTCCACAACGATCAGTACAAGGAGGTACCGGGCTACCGCTTCTTCCGTGTCACCATCGTGTCGTACTTTGCGTGGGACATTATAGTCTGCTACGTATACAAGTGGGAGCGGCTGTGGAAGGTGCACGCAATCGTGAGTTTTGTGGGCGCGTATCTGCTGTCCTTCCCCTACTCGGACCACTATGGCTCCTACTTCACAGGCATGTTCGAGCTCAGCAACAGTCCGCTGCACATATCGTCCATTATACGCACGCTCAACATGGTGCCGCTCTTCCCTCTTGCGACGGTCATGGAGGGCGTGTTTGTACTCCTCTTCGTTGTCATTCGCCTGGTGGGCGGCAGTATTGTCACGGGGTCGTGGATGAAGCAGACAGCGATGAACTTGGTGGCAAACTACCAGGCTGGTGGAACACTAGTGCACGGCGAAGTACCACTGGTACTGTCGATGGTGCTCGTCAGCGTGGTTCAGCTGCTGCAGTATATTTGGTTCGTGGAGATTACCAAAAGAGTCATTGGCATGTTCAAATCATCTCATGGGAAAAAAGTAAAATGAACCCCCCCCCAAAAAAAAAAAAAAATGAACGGTCGAGGGTGTATGTGTCTTGCGTGCGGTGACGCGCATAGGCCAACATAAGAAGAGCGGTGCGCAAATATGTAGACAAACCGGAAGATATATGGAAACTCACATTGCTTTTGATGTCTTTGTGTGTGTGTGTGTGTATATGTGTGGCATTGCTCTGGTGGATGGGGCGTCCATGTGGCTGATGCACGCGGGGAAGATTTGTGTTGCGCGCCTCCTCGCCCTACTCCGTTGATGCGGAGAGGCTGGAAGAGGGGGGTGGACGGGCACACCCGAGCGGACAGGCATATCGATACGGATATGCATTGGCGCTTGAACGATACGTTAAGACAATCTGGAAGATGGCAGATAGAGAGAGAGAGAAAGAGAGAGAGAGAGAGGTGTGGGTGGGGGCAACTAATATTGCGTGTTGCCGGCGCATCGCCAACGCAGACGTGATAAATATATATATATTTACAGGACAGAAAGCCAACAAAACAACGAAGATAATGACGAGAAGGACCAAAAGGTCGACAATCAAGAAAGCACGCAAATACCCAAAGAAAAAAGAAAATGTCATGATGAGCACCAAGCCTGTAAAAAAGGAAAAAAAATGTATTTGTCTATTCGTGCCGTGATATTTAATGTGCGTTGCCTGATCCCGGCGGGGCCGTCGCTTGCTTGGACGGTGCACCCACTTCTTTGCTCCCCTAGCTCTTCACTCTCACGCACATCACTGCCGCTTCTTGAAGAGAGGCAACAGGAACAACAAGCAGCAACAGTAACCGTCCTTCCACCTTGTAGGGAAGGGAGCGGTGTGCCTATCGAAGAGTATACGCGATAAACGAAAAAAAAAAAAGAAAACGTGAGCATCAACGTTGCGCCCAACACAACGTCTCCATCTCAACTCAGAGGAAACCGATAATATTAACACGGATACGTAAATAGTTTCATAGATTTCGATGGAGCCGTCGCGCCACAGTCTGTCCTACCTGCCCAGAAGGCACAGAAACATACACAGCGGCGGTAGCACAAGCAACAAAATCAGTAGTAGCATCACCCGAAGTAGTCGAGCGTGCGATATGCACAGTAGCCGTGTTATGGGGCGGCTGTCGCACATGGGCGCCACCGCGGAGTGGCCGACAGTTGCTCCTCTCCTTGATGCCCCGCAGGAGGGAACTGTGGAGGGGATTGGCGTGTCCCCGAGCCCGCACCACCTCGCGATAAAACCCCTGCAGCTCCCGTGTGACAGCTCTGCATACGGCAGCTTCAGCCCTGAAGGCATCCCATTCTCGTGTGAGTCGCCACGGGGGCGGGGCGGTTCAGTTACATCGGCGAACACCACCTTTGCGACGCAGCTCCAGCAAGAGGCAACCTTCACATGGGACGACAGCTGCGCTGGAAACCAACGTGGTACTGTTGCTATGGAGCCATTCCTCGCGGACGGAATGCCTCGAGGAAGGTTCATCCTGTTGAATCTCCTCACCACATGGGGCGACATGCATGAGGTGGGGCTTAACGGCGTGGAGATATTTGACGAGACGGGGAAGCGACTTATCCCACCCCCAGACTGCGTGGGAGAACAGCTGATACAGCCGAAACGGAAGCATCGTGAGAAGAAGGAGCCGGAGAGCAACGAGTCACCGCCACTGGAGGGACGACGAACGGAGGGTGGGCTCACGACACTGACGTGCACGCTCCCGCACAGCCGTCTCTTCGTGATTGTAGAATACCCAACCATCCCTGGTGAGGCATCTGCTACTGCTGTTGTTGGGGACGCAAGAGATGGCGAGGCTGATGCTGCAGAAGAGGTCGATCCACGACAACGAGTGGCAAATCTTGTGAATGGCATTCAAAACACACATGACGACACACAGCTTTTCACTATGCCCTTTACCGCCGACAGCCACCACCTGATCGGGTTTATTCTTCCAGAAGCAGCGGTCATATCAATGGTCCGGGTGTACAACTACAGCGGTCGTGGGCGGGTTCATGCAAATAAAGGTGTACGTCTTCTGGAGATGACGATCGATGACAAACTCGTCTTCCGCGGAGAGATTGCAGCGAATACAGGCGACATCGTTCCCGCCCAGAGGGTCGGTCTGGAGAACTGTGAGAATATACTCTTCACCGAGGATGCCAGTGTGCTACAGCGTTTGCTTACAACGTCTAATACAAATATGCCGGCTCAAGGTTGGATGCCTGACTCTCAACGGCAGTCGAGCGCTTTGGCACCGCCAAAGGATGCCACGTGTCAGTCTACAACGACAGTACTGTTTAGTTCTGGCAACGAAAACCAGGCCCAACGGATTGGGAGCGAGAATAGTGTAGTGATTCCTGCTGCAGCTCTTGTCAAAACAAGTGGGGCACGACAGGACATTCGACCCAATGCAACGGCAACGGCTTCTTCTGGTTATGCTCCCTGCTGTTCCTCAAGCCTGCAAGGCACTTTTTCAGGGTGCCCGAAGGACGTGACATCTGTCTGCTTGCTGCTGCTTGGTACATGGGGCGACACAGAGAAAATGGGCCTCAGCGGCCTTCGCTTTCGCGACGCACAAGGAGACTTGGTGAGCCATCACATCACCCACTGGTATGTGCGCTTTCCACCACAGCAGCAGAGCGGCGACGGCAGTGGCGACGGCGGGTCTGATGCATGGACGAATAGCCTCGTCTACCTTTTCGATGAGGATGTTAACACTGCCTTGACGCTTCCGTGTGTAAGTGGAGTTGAGATCGTTTTTGTCTTTGAGACGCCACTACCCACGTTGAGCTTTGTGGAAGTGGCGAACTACTCGCTGGGGGAGCACACCTTCTGCGGTGTGAAGGAGGCACGACTGTTTCTCTCCTCCGCTACGTCCGGCTGGTCACCCGCCGGCCTCGTCGCGGCGTACGCGGCATTGTGGGAGCCCAACGGCACGCCCACTCGTGCCGCTCTCGCAGCGCACGGTGTCTTTGAGGTTACACCAGAGGCGGGTGTGATTCTGCGCAAGGCACCAGCGTTCCTATCAATTCCACGTTTTCAGACGTACGATTTGTCGCTTGCTAATGTAGCCATGGCGGCAGCCATGTCTTCTGGGGGTGGTGGTAGCCGTGCACTGCTTGGATCCTTGTCACACAGCCTCAGTGCTTCCATGACGATACGAGCGGAGATGGCGCTGCGACGCGCCCGCATGGCGTTGAAGCCCCGTCCAGAGTGGCTGTTGGAGTACCAACCGTACATAACCCCGCTGCTTCCTGTCGCGTATGTGCTGAAGGTGTCGCTCGTGCTCTGCGCGAAGGATGTAGAGGAGCTGAAGGAGTATGCGAAGGAGTGGATGCTGAAGCCGCTACGAGCCTGCACATTTGCCGACGAGAATGGCCAGCGCGTCCGCATCAGTAGCGCCAACAGGCGAAACAAAAGCGACAAGAAATATGCGAGCAGCAATGACAGCTCCAAAAATGGGACCTCTGAGGTTCCTAGCGGCCTTGTGACAGAGTGCCTCTTCACTCCTCTACCGAATTCCTTGCAGCGTGACGCCGAGGCTGCAGCTGCTGCACAGTCTGGCATTCACGTCTCGCTGGTGCGGGCGTCGGTGTCGCTGGTGTACGTGGCGGACTCCCCCTTCTGTGTCTCAATTATCTCGTTGAACCGCCCGCTGGTGGTGGGACAGCGGGCGGCGTGGGTGCGGCACGTCTATGTGTGGATGGACGATGGATTGGTGTTCGACAGTGGCGATGCAGGCGTGCCGCGCCACGTGCAACACACTGAGCCCGCCCCGTCACTGCATCAGTTGTTGGGAGAGGAGCAGATGTCACCATTGGCTGCGGGAGGTGCCGCTAGCAACGCGGCAGCACCACAGGACAGTCTTACGTACTACACACGCGTGAAGCCTCTGATTTTCTTTACGCTGGACGCTGCAGTGCTGGAGGAGGCCCGCTGTGAGGTCATGGAGGCAGCAGTGGTACACAAGTAGTACTGGTATGTGTGTGTGTGTGTGTGTGTCTGCGTGGGTGGGTGGGCGGAAAAGTGCGAGGAGAGGAAGGCCAAGCCTTCTCAATGCACCGCCGCCAGGCCAGCGCAGCTCTGCCCTTCTAATCCACTCTCTCCCTCCCACACACACACACACACACACTCTCTCTCTCTCTCTACCTGTGTGTCTGTAGCTTTGTTTGTTGTACGTGTGGCGAATGCTGTGGAAATGAGATGTAGTGGCTGAGCGTCGCANCTCTCTCTCTCTCTCTACCTGTGTGTCTGTAGCTTTGTTTGTTGTACGTGTGGCGAATGCTGTGGAAATGAGATGTAGTGGCTGAGCGTCGCACACTGTTGTCTCTCATCTGGATGCGGCAACAACAGCAAACTTCGAGAGCTCTCTGTAGTTTTTTTTCGCTTCCATGTTGGAGGGGTGGGGGTGGGTGGCGCGTTTTCCACTCGGCTATTCGTCGCTTCTCTCTCGTTTCTCGCGTGCGGACGGAATGCCTCACGGGGCAGACAACGTGGGGGGCGGGCGTGGCGTGGCGAAGCAGCGGAGCTGCAGGGAGAAAAGAGAGAGAGAGAAAGGGAGGAGTGGTGACGCGCCATCGCGCATTGAAGCACAAGTGCGGGAGGCGAAGGAGGGGAGAGACTCGTCTCTCTCTCTCT